GCAGACTGTGGAACAGACCATCAATTACTGATATGCAAATTCAAACTGAAGCTGAAGAAAATGAAAACAAGTCCACGAGAGCCAAAATATGACCTTGAATTTATCCCACCTGAATTTACAGACCATCTGAAGAACAGATTTGATGCATTAAACACTTAAGACCGAAGACCAGAAGAGTTGTTGGATGACATCAAGAACCTCATACATCAAGAGAGCAAAAAGTCATTGAGAAGACACGAAAGAAGGAAAAGGTCAAAATGTATTACAGAGGAGACTCTGAAACTTGCTCTCCATTTTAGAGAAGCTGAAACAAATAGAAGAATTGACGAGGTCCAAGAGCTGAACAGAAAATTTCAAAGATCAGCTCGAGAAGACAAAACCAGGTACTATAATAAAATATGCAAAGACTTGGAACTAGAAAACCAAAAAGTTAGAACACAGTCAGCATTTCTCAAGCTGGGGGAACTGAAGAAAAAATTCAAGCCTCGACTTTCATTATTGAAATATTCTCTGGGCACTAGCCATTAGAGAGATGCAAATTAAAACTACAATGAGATATCATCTCACACCAGCAATAACAGCAAAGATCACAAAAGTAAAGGATAAAAAAATGCTGGCGGGGATGTGCCGAGACTGCATTGCTGGTGGAAGTGCAAAATGGTCCAACCTCTCTGGAAAACAATATGGCTCTTTCTCAGAAGGTTGAAAATAGAAATATCTTATGATCCAGCAATTCCCCTACTTGGTATTTACCCACAAGAAAAACAAGCAACAACACGGGAAGATATATGCACACCAATGTTCATAGCAGTACTATTTACAATAGCAAAAAGATAGAGATAGCCAAAGTGCCCATCAACTGAAGAATGGATAAACAAATTATGGTACATACACACAATGGAATATTATGCTACCTTGAAAAATAACAAGGAAGCTGCAAGCCACCACCTAACATGGATGAACCTTGAGGACATTATGTTGAGTGAAATTAGTCAGTCACAAAAAGAGAAATACTGCATAGGAGTTCTACTGTAAAAGACTAAAGGGGGGTGCAATCTTTGCTAGTTGCTGGGATGTGGGGGTGGGGTGAGGGGAGAGAGGGGAAGGTGGAACGCAGGGCAGGGAATTGACACAAGATAGTTTGGGTGCTGGGGAGGGGGGCAATATACAAGAAGGGAGAGGGGAATGGAAGAACAAAGCAGATGGGAGAACAATTAGGCAGGTTTGAATGGGCTAAGTGGGACAGAGGTCAATAGTGATGTATGCACAACCTTGGAAAAACAGGGCTCTGGGATACAGAGATTGAGATTTGGTTGGAATGGGGGAAAGGGGTGAATAATGTTAAGATGCTTGGCTGTCTTTTGAATTTTGGTTTTGTTTGCATTATATTATAAAATAGGCACTTGAGGGGGAGAGAAAGGAATAGCCAGAAACATCACCATAGAAAGCTTGTAAGTCCGTATTCTGCCTATAACTGATTGGAATACCTAAAATGGGGCTACAACGTGCCCAGTGAAGGAGGATTCATGTGGAGCCTTTGTAATACATAAGACTATATGGGGAAGCCTGAACCACATCCAGATCTTCAGAGATGGGAAATTTCCACTTGAAAGGATGAGCAGACCAGCCTGGAATGGCTAGAAGAATAGAAGATACTTCTTGAAATAAAGACCTACAGGAAAAATACAAAACAATAGAGGCAGACTGACTGTTACTACAAGAACAAGCAAGTTGCTTGCCCAGGAAACATCAAGGCAAGTGGTCGGGTCCCCTCAGTGCAAACCCCATTCCAAGAATAAGACTCAGTGGGAATACATGCCCTGATTGGTGACCATGCTCGTCACCGATAAGGGGAAGTGAGGGAAAAACATCAATGAAGTGGCGAGTTAAGCCCTACTATGTTCAATCGACTTCTGTGAACCCAGGTGAAGACCTTGTTGGCCAGCAGTATGGCAAGACCTGTGGACTCTTGGACCCAGAGTCAGTGACATAGCCACAGAGGACTAGAGTGGAGAGTGAAGTGTCCAGTGGATAAGAAGAGAATGCATATGCACAAGAACACCCATACTTGCAGATAATACCCACTTGACCTGGCTTCAATGACTGGATGATCAGAGTTTAACCAGAGTAAGAAAGAAGAGGAAGAAAAGAGTAATCTGATACAATTTGATTAACTTGACCTACACCTATGGATGCAGTGACTCGAAAGAGGGAAAAAATCCTTAAAACAAGGATCATTCCCACCCTATCCATACACAGAGTAGACAGGCATGGCAACTTGGACATTGGCTACCCAAAATGGGGTGGAGCTACAAAGGCAAGAAGTGACTGGCTTACAAGCTTTCAAGAGGGAACCTAGATTCAGAGGGCATGGAGGAAGGTAGAATCTCCACTGAGTAGTATACAATCTGTCTAGGTAGGGCTGATGAAATGAAATGTGGATGGGTCTCTTGTGATACAATAGTTAATAATTGCTCTCAGGACTGCTTGTGAGGGTTGGAATTGTAAAGGTAGACATTTTGTAGCAAGCAGGGGAGTGATTAACTTTTCAGCCTAGGAACGGAGGTCCCTGGGAACATCAAGGAAGAACAGTGGAAAGTGAGACCCTACCCAGAGAAGCAGTTATGCCTGAGATGGAGGCAGAGACGATGATGTGGAGAAATGGAGCTGTTGGAGACTTTAGACCCTGAGAGTGAGAGGGGCTGTGTGTGCTGTTGACCGGGGGGCAGGCTTGTAGTGTATACCCTTTGGTTGGTTGATCATGCATGGAGCGGATTGTAACCATAGCAATGAAATGATATATGATAGGATGAATATAAAACTAATGTTCTCCCATGTAACTATCACATAATTCACAGTAAAACATTTAAAAAAAAAAAAAGCGACATACATCTCTATAGATGTTAGATGTGAATGTGCAAATATGTGCACACACACAGTTTTCTTGAGGTTCCTTGGCTCATTTGTTTTTACAAGCTGAAAATGCCTATCATTTAGCATTGATACTTTTTAAATTGCGGTAGTGTTGTTTTGTGATACTAAAACATGGGGTCTGGTGATTCTTTTGTTTCTGATTCTCAATCACTAATGTTGAGTGGGGGAAATGTGCATTGTAGTAGGCTCTGATTGCTTATGGAAATACCGTATCTTGTTTATGGAAGCTGGTCTTAATAGTTCTGAGTGATTTCTTCTGTACCACACATCATGATTGTTGGGACCCTCTTTAACTGAGAAGCACTAGTGTATTTGATTGGACCCTACTTAAAACTCACTAAATTAGTTCAGCCCATCTACTAATTTAAACATTATATGTAGGCTCTATTTACAATGTGTTGTGCTTGTTAAGTGCAGTCGAGTTGGTTCTGGCTCATAGCGACCCTGTATAGGGTTTCCAAGGAGTGCTTGGTGGGTATGAACTGTGGATTTTGTGATTCAAACTGATCATTTGGTCCAGTGCTAATTTTACAGTACCACGGAAACTACCAGCTGTTCCGTGGGAGAAAGATGAGGCTTTCTGCTCCTGTACAGATTTACAGCCTTGGAAACCCTGTACAGGGTCGCTATGCGTCAGAACCAACTCCATGGAACATAACAACAACAGTACTAGGACTCATAGTGTGTTATGAGTTGGGCTGCAGTCAGCAAGGTCAGCAGCTCAAATCCAGTAGCCACTCAGTTGGAGAAACATGAGGTTTTCTACTCCCCTAGATTTACATGGTTGTTGTCATTGTTAAGTGCTGTTGAGTTGGTTCTGGACCCATAGTGACCCTGTATAGGGTTTCCGAAGAGCAGTTGGTAAGCTTGAACCTCTGATCTTGTGGTTCAAATTGGCATTGCAGTCCAGTGCATTAGCCCACAGTGCCACACCAGGACTCCTGGTGGTCCTTTCTTAGGAGCCCTGGCGGTACAGTGGTTTAGCATTAAGATTTTAACTGAAAAGTTGGCAGTTCAAACCTACCAGCTCCGTGGGAAAAAGATGAAGAAGTCTACTTCTGTAAAGATTTACAGCCTTGTAAATCTTCAGCAGTAGTGGGTTAGTTAGTTTGTTTTGTTTGCTTGTTTCTTTATTTAAAAGAATCCAGCTTAGCAATTTCAAAAGTACTGAAGGTGGCCAAGCAGTTTGCATTGGACACTATTTTCATAGTAACCAGGAATATATTGCTTCCTGGTTGCATTTATCATAATGTAGCCTAGATGAACTGAATAAGAATCAAAAGGCATACTTCAATACTTTGATAACTATCATATGCTTAAAAGAATTTGGATACCAACAGCAAGCAACCTAGCATTTGAAGGCTCCATGAATCTGAAAAGTGATAAGGACCCATTCCTACCTCCAAAAGCTAAAAGTCTTGTCTACCATGTCACTGCTGACTCTCTACCTAGTGCTCAGCTCATGAGACTAATAGCTAACAAGAGGTTCTCAACTTATTCTTTCTTTGATTTTCTAGATCAGACTTGTTGTGGAAGAGGGATTGAATCAGCTACCATATAAAGAATGTATGGTGACCACTCCAACAGGTAAATAGGTTGTTACTTTCACAATTTACTCATAAGAATTGTGAGGGAAAAAATCAACATGCAAAATGAGAGTTCTGTGTGAAGCTATTCTTTTTTAATATCTTAATAAACTTGTGAATATTTACTAATGAAATCTATGTGGTTGACTTTTTGGAAATGACTTATTTGTCAGTTCAAGTTAAAGGCTAATAAATATTCTTCAGCATGCAGAACGATCCATTGGTATCAGAGTTAAGAATTGTTGGCAGGGTATGTTCACCTCTGTGAGAAGTGGCTGATGTTAACAGATGATTTGGCATTAAAATGCCAGGTAAAAGTATGAGACCTCAAACACAGCAGAACAAAACAAAACAAACATAGAAAGCAGTAAGAAAGAATTACAGAAAGTGCTTTGTTGTATTCTTGAAAAGAAAGTAGCCAACGTCAGTTTTGAAGTTTAGGGTTTCGTTCTTTAGTATCTAATGGAAAATTATTGTATTCCAAAGGTTGACTTTATGAAAACTGAAGATTGAACCTGTTACATCATGTTGTTGTTGTTAAGTGCCGGTGAATCAGTTCTAACTCATAGTGACCCTGTATAGTGTTTCTGAGGAGTGGCTGATGAGCTTAAATTGCTGACCTTGCAGTTCAAACCATCATTACAGTCCAGAGCATTAACCTACAGCGTCACAACAGGATTCCATCATAATTGATAGAAATCATCATAGTTTCATCATAATTGATAAAAATTCAAGATGAGACCAAGGGTTAAGCATGTCTTGTTAACTACTTTAGACTCTCCTCTGCTTTTAAGGAAAAATGAAGGCTCATCAAAAGAAACTAAATGAGAAGACATGAATTGATCATGTTCTGCGAGTAATGATTCTCCTCAGAATTCAACTTGAGGGATGTTTATGAATATCATGCTAAAAAAGAGGTATTCTCACTTGGTGAAACCCACCATTCACAACTGTCTCCATAGGTCTTTAATATTAAGAAATAACACGAATAATTTCATTAATTTCACAGGAAAACTAAGGTGTTATGTGAGAGACCTACAAAAAGTTCACGGAAATTTTGAATTAAAAGATAATGGAGGAGGCGGGGCTTGATGGCAGCTAGGGTGGAGGTGCAGTGAAGTTCGCCATCAGCAATAATACAGAATACCAGGCAAAGCAGATCCAGGGCAGAGCTCCAAAACTCGGAACCACAGAGATAAGAATATTTTGAAGATTTGAAGGCTTACAGATTGTGGAACTTTAAGCTGAAGTAAAAAAATCACGGACTTTTAAATCTGCCGGGCTAGGCTTGGAGGTCCAGAGCCGACATCTTGGACGAAACCAAATGGCAAGACCAAGCAGGGAAGAAGAAACACCACTGAAAAATGCCGCGGGAACCTTGGAGCAAAGGTGGAAAATACACTTTGTCAGTTTTGCTTTGTTCTGATTTTTTTGTTGTTTTTTGTTGTCACTGAGGGAACCTTGGGACAAAGGTAGACTTTGTCAGTTTTGCTTTGTTCTGATTTTCTTTTTTTCTCTGGTATCTGGTAATTGGTGTGCTCACTGTTTGCTCACCTCCATTCTGGTGAATAGAGGGAGAGCCTGAGCAGAGTGGCCACCCACTACCCACACCGCTGGTGGGTTCTTCTGCCATGTATGCACACAGATACTCAGCCCAAGCAGAGGCCCTGAACTTTTATTATCTGTTTCTTTTTTGTTCTGTTTTTTTACCACGGGAAAGAAAAGGAGAGGGCTGAAGGGAGGAAAAGAAAGTTTAAAGGCAACCTAGGCCAAAGGTTGGATTGGAGCCTGAGGTATAGCATAACAACCAACACTGGCAACTTGGAATCTCTCAGGCAGCTTTGAAGACAGGAACTTGAAGAGAAGACATTAAAGTCATACTCATATTAAGCTATAGATTAAAAAAAATTTTTTTTTTCCTTCTTTTTCTTCTCTCCCTCCTCTCCCTTTTCTGTGATTAAAGACTGCAGTATTCAGTCTTGTTTTTGTTGGTGCTGCTTCTAAGTCTTTTTTTTTCCTTCTTCATTCTCTCATTTTTTTAAAAAAACTGGTATTGTTTTGCTGTTATATGCCCCCCATTCTGCCTTTGGAGTACTCTTTGTCTCCCTATATAACACAAGAAGAGTCAGCAACTGCTGCCATATAGCCAAGCTACAACCACACACTATAAAACACCAAAACCCAGGCAAGAACCAATACCAACTGCCGTATACAAGGGAAACAGACAACACCTGTGAAAGTTACTCTAAGTTAAACAATAAGAAGAGTGAAAAGGGATGCCCACATCCTGATCACATCTCCTGGAAGCAATCAGAAAGCATAAAACATTACCAAAACACATACTCAATTTAGTATTAAGGCCACAGATAAACATTAAACATGTCCAAGAAGCAAAAGCAGATGAACATATCAGCACATGTCCAGAAACAAGATAAAATGTCTGAGAAAAATGACCTAGAAGTAGATCTGGACACCATTCTGGAAGGAGGGCAGGCCTTGGAAATGCCTGAGAAAGAATTCAGAAAAATTATTATAAAATGTTACAAAACACTTTACAATGGAGTTGAGAAAAATAAGGAAGAAGTCAGGAAAGTGCTACAGGAACAATCAAATAAGATAGATACAGCATTGGAAACAAT